CAGGCCCAGAGTTCAGGCCCCACGACCGGACCCAAAAAAAAGCCTGAACTGGAGGTATGGCTCAAGTGGTAAAGCACCAGCCTTGAGTGAAAATGGTAAGCAAGAATGTTCAGCCCTGAGTTCAAGCCCCAGCATCAGAATACATACATAAAAACTAGTCAGTAGATGGGTGCCAGAGGCTCATGCCTATAATCCTAGCTATTCCAGAGGCTGAGATCTAAGGATCATAGTTCAAAGCCAGCCTGGGCAAGGAAAGTCTGTGAGACTCTTATCTCCAATTAACTACCAGAAAACCAGAAGTGGCAAAGTGGCTCAAATGGTAGAGCACTCGCCTTGAGCTGAAGAGCTCAGGGACAACATCCAGTCCCAGAGTTCAAGCCCCATGACCAATAAAACAAAACAAAATTTAGTCAGTAAAAGTATTTTGAAAAACAACAACAACAAAAAAAACCAACAAAAAGAAGCTTCTATTAGATTCTTAATACCTATATAATAATTCTGGGCCCAGTCTAACTCTCAAGCCTTAGCACTTGCTGTTCCTTCTTTGGCCATTCATTGGTTATATAATTATTTATTCTTTCTTAACATTTCATACTTCTTCATACCTCTATGTCTTTCATTTGCCTTTTCTAGCCTAGAATATAATTCTCTTACTTCTATCTACTTGTTCAAAACACTGTTTGAATTATACATATACTTTAATCCTTTTAAGCATCATTAATATTCCTTTGTGATCCCCTAATTTTTGCTAGATAGTATATGGTACACTAATGCTTTGTCAGTTGACCTGATGTGATCATTCCAAAGGCAAGGCCATATATCCTACCAATTTTTATATGAGGGCTGGAGTTTTGGCTCAAGTAATAGAGTTCCTCCCTAGCAAGTGATAGACCATAAATCCAAAACCCTAGTACCTCAAGGGAAAAAGTTCTGTATCCTCTGTCCAATTGTTCTATGATATACAAATGCTGGCTTAAGAAATTAATGAGCCAGGCACCTATGGCTCACACCTATAATCCTAGTTACTCAGGAGGCTGAGATCTGAGGATCCTGGTTAAAATTCAGCCAGGGCAAGAAAATCCATGAGACTCTTATCTTCAATTAACCACCAGAAAATTGGAAGTGGCTCTGTGGCTCAAGTGGTAGAGTGCTCGCTTTTTGCTGAAGAGCTCAAGGACAGTGCCCAGGCCCAGAGTTCAAGCCCCATGACCAACCAAAAAAAAAAAAAAATTAATGGAAAAGGGTTGGAGGCCTGCTCAAGTGGTAGAACAACACTTGCCAGCACGCATTAGCCCAAGTTTAAAGCCTTTCTCAAAAAAAAGGGAAATGAATGAATAAAAATCATCATAACTGGGGGGGAGGATTAGGGGGGGCAGGGGGCGGTATGAGAACAGATGGGAAAGGGAAACAAAGGAGGAGGCTACAATGCTTGATAAAAAATGTACTCATTATCTTGCCCATGTAATTGTAACCCCTCTGTTCAGCATTTTCACAATAAAAAAAAGGAAAAAAAATCATAACTAGTTTTAATTCTGAGATGACTTTATCACCCAATATGCTTTAGAACTAAATACCATCTCAGTTGGTATACATTCAGAAAATATAAAACTTTTTTTTTTTTTTTTGTGCTAGTCCTGGCGCTTGAACACAGTGCCTGGGTGCTGGCTAGAACCACATCTCTGCTTCTGGCTTTTTGGTGGTTAACTGGAGATGAGTTTCAGACTTGCCTGACCAGGCTGGCTTCAAACCATGATCCTCAGATCTTAGCCCCTGAGTAGCTAGGAATACAAGCATGAGCCACCAGCGCCTGGCTTATAAAATGTGTTTTAATGTTGTTCTAAATCAAGTTTCATTAGAGAAAGGGAATATTTCATGAAAGCACATTGTAAAGTAAAATAAAGGTGTTTGTTTTGGCAGAACTGGGGTTGAAACCAGGACCTTACACTTGCTAAGCAGGTGCTCTACCACTTGAGCCACTGCCTCCACACTAATACTGATCGTAAAAAACAACAACAACAAAAAAAAACCTGTCTATTTTTAAGCAAAAAGTGATTTTTCAATCAGGCAACCTTCAGAACATGAAGAGGTTCAGAGAGCTCTCCTCTGCAATGGGGGCACCGAATATTTCCACATTCTTCTTTAACCACCTTCAAGGCTTTTTATTCTTCTTAAATGCATACTTATAACCAGGCATCCCCGTACTGGGAAGGCTGAAGCAGGAGTACTTGGAGTCTAATGCTAGCTTGGACTATCTAGTGAGACCCTACTTCAGAAAAATAAATTTAGGGGCTGGGAAGGTGGCTCAGTGGTAGAGTGGTTGCCTTGCATGCCTGAGGCCCTGGGTTCGATTCCTCAGCACCACATAAGCAAAAAGAAAAAAGCCGGCTTAAGTGGTAGAGCGCTAGCCTTGAGCTGAAGAGCTGAGGGACAACACCAGGCCGAGTTCAGGCCCCACAACCGGACCAAAAAGAAAAAAGAAAAAAGAAAAATAAATAAATTTAATAAAAATAAAAGTACTAATAGCAATGAGTTATGATATTAAGACACATTGGTAAGATGTGGAAAATTCAGTTTTAATTCAACTTCCACCAAAAACAAAGTCTTTATACTTTATTTGAAGTATACTTTGGGGAGTATAAAAAAGAGAACCATACCTGGAGGATGACCAAAATCTCAGCATTGTTTTTCTCCAGCGCTATGTCAAAGGCAGATTTATCAAACTTGCTGAAAGCATGGACATCAGCTCCATATTTGATAAGTAACTCTACAACATCTCGATGGTGATGCTCTGTAGCCCAATGTAAAGCTGTCATCTTCAGCATGTCCTTGGCATTCACATCTGCACCATTCTGTCATAGAAAAGCAACATTTCAATAGACACTGGTTACCACAGCACAGGTGCAAAATCCTATCACTAGAGACAGAAGACTTCCATAGAGATCACACATACTTAAATTTAGATCACATTTACAAAATAGCAAAGAGAAAAACATTTCTCAAGTTCTCCTAAATGCTGATAAACATTATGCTTTCAATGAGTGGGTCTTCTAAGGACATTACTGGGAAATTATAGCAGATGGGAGAGGAAGGGGGAAAGAACAGATTTTTGTTGTAATTATTTTCAGAGCTGAGTGCCAAAAAAAA